GCTCAGATTCGCTTGGCAGCTGTCTTCGCAGCCATGGCTCACGGCAGTGTACTACATCTTCTGCGCGGCAGCGCCCTCTTGAGCAGCTAATGTTCCATCTCGAACCGAAACTTCCGTCCGTCGCCAATGCGTTGCGACACTGCGTAGTCGAGCAGTCCGTTCTCCACTGACTCATTTCGTGCGTGGCAAGGCTCTGCAACACTATGTATGCCTTTCGCTGGGTTTTGATCGAGTTAGCCGTGGCGTGTGTTGATCTGCCCGCAGGCATAACATTCAAGTGTTTCCTCGAGCTCAGCGTTTGAAGCTGTTTTGAGCTCTCGCATGTTCGTTATGGAGTCGCAGCTTCAGAAGTCATTGACCATCAAAGGCAGGAAGAAGGAAGGCCTGTATTGGTGTTGTCGTGTGTGGTGAGGTCGTAGTTTCGGCGGGTTCCTCCTGCAGGTTGGCGTAAATGGCGTTCATGCTGTCTGCGTTGTCCAGCTCCTTCCCGAGGTTGTCTTCTCTCTTGGGTGTGTCCCTTTAGTTTTTCTCGTTCGGGTTGGCTGTTTATTCGGCTTCGTCTCGTGCTACCTTCCCACGTTGCTGGTGTTCTGTTGCTTGGTTGGTCTCGAGGTTCGTTGCTCTGAGTGCGTGGTGGTCTTGGTTGGCCTGCATGTGTGCAATGTGATTCAGTCCTGTGATGTTGTTTAGCGTCTTGATTATTTGATGGTGGGCGTATTTCTCGTAGCTTTGGTGTCATTTATTCGTTGATCTTGCTCATTGCTTGCATTTTCTAATAGCAACGTACATCTACCGGCTGACAGCGCTGGCGGTATGATAGGTCCGCCTCGTTCCTTCCGCGATGATGTTAGTGTTGTTTTTCTTGTTTGTGGACGTATGTTCCTTTGCAGCATGGTGTGTTGCTCGTGTGTCTGAGCTTGTTCGGTTGATTGGTGCCTCTGGAATCGTATTCGCTCGATCTCCGTCGTTGCTTTGTGCGCCGCTTGGTGGCACTTCTACTTGGTCGTGCTGATCTTGGCTTCGCGCTCTTCCTGGGCCGCGCACATGTTGATCAGGCGCCTGGTATCTGCTCGCAGTCCACGGATACCCGTCATGGGCGTTTCGGCTTTTCGGTTGCACCTCTCACTCATGACCGCGCTGTGGAATGCCATGGGGCCTGCTGCGCCGATGTGTTTGTTGAGCTTTTATTTGAGGTGCTCGTAATGTTTGGTGATGGTGGTCACTTTGTTGTTAGCCTTCTCCATCTCGCCTCAGGTTCTTTTTGCACGGTGGCTGGCCTCCCTGTAAGATGGTGTGCTGATGTAGGCTTGTGTATAATTGTGGTGGTCAACTTGCCACTAAAGACCGTCCTGCTCTTCCTGGTGCTCAGCTTGAGTATGATGTAGGATCCGACCGTGCACTCTTTGCTGGTCGCTTGTGGTATTCAGTAGGTGCAGCCTTTGTTCGGTGAGGCTCTCGATCTCATCGTAGTAGCGGGGGGAGGTGGAATGGCGATATTGTGGGCCGCTGTCTTCTTGAGCTGGTCATTGTGCATGTCGGTGATGGAGGTGTTTTCAGCATGTAGCGTACGGATCTGGTATGTGTAGAGGTCTGCAGGTGTTTCTTTGTCTGATCTGGTATTGTGCTGTTGTAGGCGTGCGATCCCCTTTCTTCGTAGCTGCGGTTGCCCGCTGATGCCTCCTCGGTTTTCCCTTCGAGCCGGTTTTGTGGGTGTGAGATTGCATTTCTCGCTCTTGGTCTGCTCGTGCGTCTAGTGCGTGTGTCTTCGAACCCGTTGTCAGCTCCCGAGTCTCGGTCGTCGTTGATGAGGGCCATGCGCCGGTATCGTATGGCCTTGGCACTTGTATATCGTCGTCTTTCCAGCTTGTGCGCACGGCGTGCTGCTTCTGTGGATCCTCCCAGTCACCGTTGTTCATGGCCTAGGCCCTGCGAGTGGGTGCGACTTCTGCGACCACCGCGTCGATTAGTTGCTGGTAGTTGTTGTGAGCGGTGCCGGTGTGCTCTAGTTGATCGTCTCCTCTGTCACGTCTGCTCTGATCGTTCTTCTCCTGTTTGGTCTGCTGCTCGTCGTTCTGCCAGCTCCAGTGCTGGCCGTCTTGGTTCCAGCGCGGCAGGCCCGCCCCCCCCCGACTCCTGGCTGGGCTCTGGACTGTGCTGCCGGCTTCGGTGACGGTTTGGTCGTGTTGAGTCGACTGGTGGGTCGGTGCTTCGGATAGGTTGTCGGCACCATGGTGGCAGCGGGAAGGTGCGGTCGGGGTGGTTGTCGGGCGAAGCAGCCCTCGCGCGTCGGCACGCGCCTTCCGCAGCAGCTCATGCCAGGCGGGGTGGCAGGACCAGGTTGGTCCGCGAGGTCGCTGTAGACGTGGGGGGGGGGCAACCACCAGAGCAACGGTCCTTGGTTTGAAAGTTGTTGTCATGTGTTACGGCCGCCGCACCCGCCTGTTCGGCGCGAGCGACGCGCATGTCCCTTGTGACGACTTCCCGCCGTGCGCTTGTTTCCCCTTCCTCCGCATGTGATGGTTCAGAGTAGCGGTACCAAGGCGCGCGTGGGCGGCTTGCTTGGCGGAATCCCGCGGCCTTCTATGCCCCCTCCTAGGGGAACCTTGGACGCTACGCCCCCCCGTCTTCTTTCTCCTTGTCACATTCCTTCATCCGTCTCCTCATGCCTATACTCGTCCTCCTTCACTATACTCCTCATCCCTGTCATACTCCTTGTCATACTCGTCATCCCTCCCTGTCATACTCCCTGTCATTTCTCCCTGTCGTACTCCCCGTCCCCGTCATACTCCTCATCCCTATACACTTCTTTCTCCTTGTCATACTCCTTCATCCATCTTCTCATCCCTATACTCTTCCTCCTTCGCTGCCTTCCTCCGTCGCACCTCCGACGTGTCGGCCGGGCGAGCGGAGCGTCTCCGTTTTCACCAGCCTCGAACGTATCCTTATCCCTAAGATTGACACGCTAAAAGGAGATGACAATCTTGGGGATACACCCTCAGAAACTGCGGAAATCCCTCAGATCGCCATCGTGATGAGGCGATTCCCGTCATAGGACTAGGGATATGTTCCAGGCTGGTAAACATTTGCAACACATTCAAGGATGGAGGGGGATGTCTTTCAAATTTTGACTCTCGCCTCAGTGCATCGCACACTCATCGTCACAGCCTGCTGCAGCTTCAAGGGCGAAGGGCGAGTCCCTTCTTAACTGTTCCAAGTTGGAGTCGCGCATTCGTCTTAGAAGTCTGCAGCAGCTTGAATGATATATGCCAACTAGCTGTTAGCATGCGACTATCGCATAAGCGCCGCGCACATTCGCTGCAAGCTCTTACAACAGCTGGCATGGTGGAGCACATGCCGTCTTCAGCATGTGATTATCGCTTTAGTGCCGCGCGCGTTCGTCCGAGACGGTTGCAGCATACTCTGTGATGGACCGGGGGTCGTTTCAGTGGTGGTTCGCTCGCGTAAGCGCGGCGCGCATTTGCTGTAGCAGCGCGCGTTGGCTCGAAGGACGGATGGCGGTTCCTTCTCGACGTGGCGGTCCCGTCTTAGCGCCGCGCGCATTCGCGTCAACGTCTCGCAACAGCTACACGGAGTGAGCACATGTCGTGTTCAGACTGGGGTGTTCGTCTGAGTACAGCACGCACGTTCGATATTGAATGCAACACTCGAAGGGGTGGACGGTAGCTCGTTTGCAAGATTGTGCCGTGATTCCATATTTCTTGAACAAGGCCAGTAGCACTGCATGGATCCAATTCGGCTCTCTTCCAAGCTGGATTTCTCGCATGAGCGTTCTTGGACGTCCATGACTGGACTTGCATCTACGCGTAATACTTACACAGGTGTGGGGCGGTCCCTCTTCGGATGGAGGGATCTCGCTGGATACCCCGCTGAACTGTATATTGATCAGGGCTTTCGTTCCTGATTGCGCGCCAGATGGATGCAACATAGCTGCTTGTTCAGAGCGGGGCCCTCGCCAAATGGCAGGCCCAAGTGCGCTTGTGTTTCATGCGGAGGCTTCCTGCAGTGGAAATGAAAGTTTGCAGGAACGCGTGAAGAGGGGACTTGGGACAGAAGGGTGTATTGCTACTGCATCGCGGACGCATCTGGAGTTTATTCTAGTCCTTCTCATCCTTCTCCTCCTCCTCCTCCTCCTTCTCCTCCCTCTCATCCTCGTCCACGCGGGCCCGTGCCTCTTGATGTCGCGCGTCACTTCATCAACCTCCTCATCCCTCTCAGTCTCCTCTTCCTCTTTCTCCTCTGCCGCCGCTCTCCTCTTGCGCATGCTCTCGCCCCCGTCGCTCGACTTCGTGCACGTGCTGGGCGAGGAGAGGACTCGGAAGATATCGTGTTCGCGCATTGGTTCGTTGGGGTGCGATGGGGGTGGGTGGAGAGGGGTGGTTGGGAGGTGGGTAGGGGCTGGGGTTGGATGGGGTGGGTGGGTGGAGGTAAGGGCGGGTCGGGGGTGGGGGGTGGATTGGGTGGGGGTTTGGGGGGGGGGGAGGGCGGGTGGGTGATGGGGGGGGGTGGGAGACGAGGAACGAAAACGTCCTCCTCTTCTTCTTCTTCTTCCTCCACAGCTTCGCTGAGCGCTTCGCCGCGCAACTCCTGTGGCTGACCTCAGACGAGCGGCCACGGCTGATCCGCGCAGGCCACTGGTTGGCCCCCGCTCCTTCTCGGGGACGTCTCGCGCGACCTGTTCGTTCGTCCCCACCCGAACCCCGTGCGCGCCTGTGGGCGAGCCCCCGGCCCTGGGCGGTGGCATGGCAGAGAAGGCTTTGAGGGGCCTCGCGGGTCTGCATGACGCAATGCGCCACGAAGAGCAACAGCGTCTCCCCACTCACCCGCCTTTGGCCTTTTGGACCACGGCGTCGGAGTGGCCGGGAACAGTATCGATCCTCTAGCCCACCTCCCGTTCTCGGCCGAACGTCGGCTTGACGGATCCTTGCGGTGTCGCCCCCGCCCGCGCGCCCGAGCGACTCCCCGCTGCAGCGGCAGGCGCGATGGGGGGCTGCATCGCCTCCAAGGAGTCGGCCTCTGCCGGCACAGCGGACGCCGCCAAAGACGCAGGCGCAATGGGGGCTGGAGTGGAGGACGAGGAGGAGCAGGAGGAGGAGGTCGCAGTGCCTCCCCCGTCCCCGCCGCGTCGTCATTCCCCTCCGATTTTCCTTCTCACACTACTGTTACCTATCTTGCCTGCTCCACTGGGCGATTGTCCACAGAGGAGCCCTTGCGAGGGCGCATAAGGCGCTGCAGCAGGTTTGTGTTGCGCCGACGCGGCAGCGACCCCGCCTCGGGCGTTCAAGGTTGAACGCCGCCGGTGGTCCAGATTCTTCCGATTTGGAACGAATCGGCGACCGGAGGGCTGCCGATCGTTCGAGGTCGAGCAGCGACCCACGCCGTGTCAGAAGCCAACGCGCCGGCGGTCACGGCACGGGCCCATCGTAGACATTGTGGACAGCCGCAGGGGGAGCCAGGCGAGTGACGGTGTGCGTGCAGGTGGCCGTCGGGAGGCCCATGGGCAGGAACCCCTGGGCCCGGACCGTCCTGCACGGAGTTGCCCTTGCACCCGGTGGAGGGGAGGATTCGGGATCGCTCTGTCAGAGAGGGGCGGAGCCTCGATCCGCCCCTCGTCGTGAAGATTACGAGTGCTTGCGCTTGGGAGCCCGCGGCACTGCCCCGAGGTCTTACAGAAGGCCCCCAGGGGCACCCGGAGATGCCCCCGAGGCAAGGCACACCGGGGTCGTACATAACAGAACGCGCCTCGCGTATAATCTCCAGCTCCCTGGGCAAAGACACAAGGCATTACACCCCGCAGCTCTTTCGAGTTGTGCGCAGTCCTCTGGAGGCCAATTGAGGTACCCCCGGGCTGGCGGTGAACACGAAATTTATGGACCCGACGAGGTGGCTGGAGGGAAGGGAGCGCAGGGAGGAAACCCCGCCTAGCTTGTCGATGCCGCCTGGCAGGACTTGGCCTGCTGGCGGTGGGAAGAGGAGGAGGAGGGAGGAGGGAGGAGGGAGGAAGAGGATGATGATGATGATGATGCTGATGATGATAGTGATGGCGATGGTGGTGGTGGTGGTGGTGGTGGTGATTATGATGATGGTGATGACGATGATGATAACAATGATGATGACGATGATAATGATGTGACGATGATGATGCTGATGCTGATGACGATGATGATGATGATGATGCTGATGCTGATGCTGATGATGATGATGATGATGATGATGTTGATGCTGCTGATGATGATGATGATGATGATGATGATGATGATTGTGAGGATCATGATGATGATGATGATGATGATGATGATGATCATCATCATCATCATGGTGATGTGGAAGAGGAGGATGAGGAGGAGGAGCGGCTCTCGTGTCTTGGGGACCCAGGAGGGCGAGCTCCAGGCCGGGGGGGGGGGTCGGCGCGGCTCTTGGCTGGGGCTGCTCTTCCGGCCAGGTTCGGGCCGACCCCAGAGACGCTTAGAGGCATGGACGGTCGGCGCAGCACGCTCTGAGGCGTCAAGCCGCCAGTATATCGTAGTGTTCAGTCGGGCGTGACCCTCTCGACTATTCTTGATTGTTTTTGTTATATTTGTGCTACCTATTTCTTAGCTTTCTTGCAGAATCCGCCTGTCGGGGGAAATGCCCGACCTAATCGCAGTGGCTGGAGGCTTGGATTCGGAGCAGTCGTAGATCCCCCCACTTCGGCACAGTGTGGCTGTGCATGCTCTTACGGCAGTGGCGCGCGTTCCACCCCATCGAGGCGAAGGGTGGACGCCCCGGGCGGAGGAAAGAGGAAGAGGAGGAGGATCCAGACATGCGACGCCTTGATTTTTCAATGCACGGTCCCTGGAAGTCCCGACCCTTTCCCCAGGGCCAGGGTTTCATCCCCCGCCGTTTCTTGACGGTCCCGAGGCCCGGCGAGGGCCCCCGCAGGCCGAAAACGAAGAACAAATTGCCGTCTTGATGTTCTCGCGACGCGAGCATGTCTGGGGAAGCGGAGGGAAGAGGAGGAGAAGGAGGACGCCGGCCAGGAGAAGGAGGAGAAGGAGGCGGCCAGGCGGGAAGAGGAGGAGAAGAAGGAGGAAGAGAAGGCCAGTCGCGAGGCCTCTTCGGCCAAGGCAGGGGTCAGAGGGCACCTCCTGCCACCAGCGCCGCCGCCCTTCCAAGGGGGCGCCTCCAAGGGCCGGGGCGGCAAGGAGCGCCGTGCGGAGGCGCAGGCGACTTCTCCCTAGTGAGCCTTCCAAAGCCTTGGTCGCCGAGGCCATCTTGGACGCTCCAACCCGTCGCGAAACGCCCCGTCCAGGGCCAATGGGGAGGGGGCCAGGGGGGAGGGATAAGCCCCTCCTAGGGGGGGACAGAAGGCGGGTCGGTGGAGGAAGCGGTCGCAACCGCTCACGCCCTGCAGGGCTGGGTGGGATCGAGCTCCTGGGCGGCCGAGGCGGCAAGCGAGGGCGCGGCTGCTGGGCGGCCCGGCGGGCGGCTGCTGGGGTCGGGCGCCTGGCGCTACACACCCTCGGCAGCGCTCGGACGTGCGCAAGTTCACTTCTCGGCGGCGAGCACCGAGGAGCATCCAGGAGCATCGAGCAACAAGAGCACGCGCGAACCCCGAAGGATGCACAGGGGATGGACGTCCGAGCGATGGCGGGAGACCTCGAGAGCCACGCTTTTTGGTCTGCGGGTCGGGAGCGGGCCCCTTCCGGTCAAGAGCTAAACGGGACGCGGGTAGCCCTAATTGGGGAGACAGGGCGCGGGCGGGCGGGGCCTGAGGACTCAGAAAACAGGAGGTGCCGAAGAACTTGCACAGGACAAGGTGCGCCATGGACTGGAACAGGGGGCACGGTCCCACAGGGAAAGTGGATTGGTGTTGCCGTCATCGGCGCGCCAAGAACACCATCCTCGAGTGCTGCGTGACTCGAGAGCAACGCACGCGATGCAGGCTTCACAGGGCGGGCCCGTGGCGACGGCGCGGCGGTGTCCTCGGGCGTCGCCCGGAGCCCGCCGTGCCAGGCCGCTGGGCGGGGGGACGCCTCGCGCAGGGGGGGCCTTCGGTTGCAAATCGCGAGGGCCTGGTATTCAGGAGGGGAAGAAACACACAGACACAATGAATCGTCGATCCCCAGGGAAATATGGGAAAACATGGGAAGTGGGGGGGAAGACAAAAACGCAGAAAATATGGGACAATAGGGGAATATTTTTATTTGTGTGCATTTATTTGTGTGTTTGTGGACCCCTTCATGGTATGCTCGATGGATTCCGTCTCTAGCGTCGATTGGCTTCGAATAGCGTCTGCGAGTCGGCGAGATGGCGCCGATTTGGCTTCGGCTAGCGCCGACCAGCGTCGATCTAGCGTCGACTAGCGTCGATTCGCAAGAGCCGACAAGATGGTATGGGAGGCTCCCATGAGTTGCCACCGAAGGTGCCAGCGAATGGCGTGAGGCCCGTCGGTGCCCAGGGCTTGAGCAGCGCGAGCATCTAAACCTCCCGGATGGGGTCCGAGCAGATAGGGCCGCAGGATCGCCCCGCATCGCCGCTACATCGGCGATGTGGCCCGATGTGGAGCCCGATTTCCTGCACGCTGGCGTCGCCACTGCACCGCCGACGTCGCCGATGCCTCGGCGATGCGGCACGATCCTCCGACCCCATCTGTTTTGACCCCACTTAGGAGGCCTCTAAAAACAGGGCACGCACGAGGGGCAGCGGCGGCCGTTGTAGGACACGCGGTCAGACGATGCGCGAGGCACCTCACCTCGAAAGAAGGAACACGATGACCATGACCAGGATGTCCTGGGATCCTGTCGATGCCGGTCTAGGTCATGATCCATTCCACGTGTTGACACTTGTCAGTATGGACGACGGCTAAGATAGACGCCGACGTCTCTGCGTTCAGTCTTGGTCATGGTCATCGTTGCCTTCTCTTCATGACCAGCGCGCAACCCTCTGGGGCTGGATCAGCACGAACAGGGCACGCGCAAGAGGCACAGACCGGCCACACAAGTTCCCACTGGACAGAGGCCAGACGCCGGCCCTTCTGCCCAGGCTTGGCAATCACGCCACACCGTGCGTTAGGTGACGGAGGCCCCCGCAGCGGGATCAAGTCCCGGTAGGGAGCGAGTCCGCTGGTGCCTAACGTACTCGTTTCTGTTGCATCTTTGGGGGACCTCGCCTGTCCCCAAAATTGGTGTCTTTTGAGGGGCCCGACGCGTGCTCGATGCGGACTCGACGCAGATTTGGCGTGGATTCGAGGCGGATTCGACACGGATCCGACGCGTCCGACATGGATTCGACACGGATTCGACGCGGACAGGGCCGCGACGGGACAGACAAGGTCCCCCGAGGATGCAACATCAACTCGTCAGCGCTGCCACTGCTCGGCCGCCAGACTGCGCACCTGGGGGTCCGCGCGCACCGCCTCGGACAGCGTATCGGCAAAGACGTCGAGGGTAATGCCCAACGTTCGGGCGACTTCGGCGACGTCGGCCAGCCACGTAGCACCCGTTGTCGCCTGCGCACCTGCCAACAGTCACGTGCGCCACGGGTCACGGGGCTTCCAGGCGACAGCGCAAGCAGCCACGCTTGACCGCGGAGGGCCCTTTGCTTTGGAGTAGCCCCCCACACCGCGTGAGCATGAGCGTCTCTGCCAGCGCGCGGATGTGCCCACCTGTGCCTAGAGCCACCTCCAACCCCCCTAGGCGTGAAAGGTGCTCGGATGCGAACGATTGCTCAGCGACAGGGATGGGCTTCCAAGGTGGGGTCCGAAACCATTGCCTCTCCAGCGACAGGGATGGGCGCCCCATGTGAATCGTGGCGCCAATCGAAAACGTCTGGCGCCCGCTCTCGGATGGTGGCAGGGAGGTGATACCAGGATCGGCATCCGAGTCGGACCGGCTTCGACTTGACACCGCCAGTGTCCAGAGATACAATCATCGGCCTAACCTAAGGAACGATAAATAAGGAACGAATCCCCATATTTTCTCCGGGGAATAACGCACAAGGAACGATTGATAATGAGTAACGCATAGGGAACGACACATAGCGCATTCAAACCTAGGGAATGACCGAGCCCCTTTTGAGAAGTAAGTGTTCCTTATTCAAGCCGCTCGCTGTAGAGAGGGGGAGAGGCAGAGTGAAAGGGATAGGGTCGGATGTCAAAGCCCGTCTAGCGACAGGGACGTTGCCAGGAGAGGCGTGGTTCCCACCGCGGATGATCGGCACCCGCTCTGGAGTGCTTCAGCATGTCTTGCAGCAGGAGGGCGGATGCTGATGGCCCTTGTTCAGAGCCCCGTATCATCAGGGGTAACTCGGGTCAGGGCTAACTCGGGTTCGTTTTTCGGGAATCCGAACCCGACTTACCCTGGACCCGAGTTACCCCGGATAATTCGGGCGTCCAGAGCCCCACATCATCAGGGGTAATTCGGGTCAGGGCTAACTCGGGTTCCTTTTTCGGGAATCCAAACCCGAGTTACCCCGGACCCGAGTTACCCCAGATAACTCGGGCGCCCAACTTGTTTGTCCACTGTCTGGCAGGTGCATCCTGGGAATATAAGGGGGTGGGCCCAGTGCGCGTCCAGCGACAGGGACGGGGCTTCCTCCCAGGTGGAAGGTTGCCACGCCTGCAACCGTAGCGTAGCCGTATCGAGAACTATTGGCGTCCAGTGCGTCTCTTGGGCGTTGTCTTTGCAACTAGTGTCGAATGGAGTCGGGGCAGGAAGCCCCGGGAGGGGAGAGGGGGAGGAGCAGGAGGAGAAGGCTAGGGGGATGCCGACTGTCCACCTACACCGCTGTTTGCAAGGCCCGTCCTGGGCCCACCCTGGGCCGGGTTTTCCAAGGCGCACCGGTGGAGAGTGCGGGTTCGTGAGCCAAGCTCGGAAAGTCGAAGCTCAATGGTGATGGAGTTATCGGCCAGCTTCGTTTTGTCATCTTCGTCTTCCTGTTCATTTGCATGTGCATTTTCATCACAAAGGTTTATGCTGTGCAAGTTGAGTACAAGACGCCGAGACGAGTGCGGCCTTTTTTAGGGGGAGTGGGGCGGGCGTCTTATGAGGGATGTGGCGTATCCTCATCTCTGGCTACGGGGAGGGGGCACGTATGTACACTATTCTGGGGCCCAGGCTTCATCTGACCAAGTGCGGTGCATATGGGCAATTTGAAACAGTTTACAATTAGCTCACTTGCTCAGCATCCTCAGGTCAGTAAGAGATGTACGTGCTAGCTTTCTCTTGAGGCCTGGCGACTGATCCCTGGCCGAGTGCTTGTGTGTCGTGCTAAGGCTCGGCGAGAATGGGCATCGATCAGAGCGAGTGTGTCTGATGATGCGCTGTCTGGGGACGGCCTGTCTACTTCATTGCGCTCAAGCCCAACACGCCGCCTCAACGCAGCACTGCTTGACCTCAGCGCCGGCTCCAGGAGAAGATAAGGCATCCCGGCCCAGTCCCAGAAGTTGAAGTACCCACCTCTTCCCTCTCCTCTTCTCCTCCTCTCCCTGATATGCCTTTCCTCATCCTCTCCTCCTCGTATTCCTCTCCTCCTCTCCTCCTGCTGTCTTCCTTCTCTCCTCCTCCTCCTCCTCCTCCTCCTCCTCCTCCTTCTCCTCCTCCTCCTCCTCCTCCTCCTCCTCCTCCTCCTCTCTTCCTCCCCCCGCGCGTAATTCGCCATGGCGCTCGGCGGTGATCCGGGTGACGGTGGCACTGCCCGGGCTTCCAGGTGGCCGAAGTATCACCATCGGCGCCCGCATCCGGGACCATCGTTCCCCAGCGGAGGCGACCCCCCTGCGGCCTTCGGGGTGCCTCACCGGCGGCCTTCGGGGTGCCAATCCCCAAGACTCCAATCAGTGGCGGCCTTCGGGGTGCCTCACCGGCGGCCTTCGGGGACCCCCCTGCGGCCTTCGGGGTGCCAATCCCCAAGCCTCCAATCAGTGGCGGCCTTCGGGGTGCCTCACCGGTCAGGGCTCAGGAGCGAAGCATAGACACAGGCGCAAACAGGCGTCGATGTCCAGGAGGATCTGGCCACAGATCCGACGGGGAGGGGAAGCGGAAGACCCCGGACATATAGAACAGAGGGGAACGTATGGAATTTGTGCGTGTCTGGGTTCGTGTCTCCCCGGGCCCCTTGGGAATGGTGCCTCCCCGCCCGCGCGCAGCCGTGGAGGCCCGGGGGGTGCGCCGCCTGCGATGGGCGGAGAGGTGCTGCCTGCGGCGCGGCGGGCCCCGGAGCTGCCCGAGCTGGGGCGGGCCAGAGACCTCTTCTCGGCGGAGCCACGATGGGGCCCTGAGGGACGGGGAGCTCAGGGCAGGACGAAGGACAGGAAGAGGTCCACGGATGCGTTCACTCGAAGAAGAAAGAAGGGAATAAACATAGACTTGTGGCGCGCTGCGCGGATTTCTTGGATCTGCGCTGGGCCCCTCTGGCGGCGCCGCCCCTGGCGCGCTTCGCGCGCCAGGGAGGGGGGCACGGCGCAGATCCAAGAATCCGCGCGGAGCGCCACAAGTTTCTGTTTATGGCGTGTTTTTTTTCCCTCTTCCAGAGAAGGATCATTAGGAAGATATCCACGGATGGGTTGACGTCGTTTGAGGTGCCTCGTCCTCAAGACCCCATCCCCCAGGGCCCCCTCTTGGAGCCACCGACCTTCGCCCCGCACCTGCCGGCCGATGCCCCCGCGCTGCGGAAGGCGCTCGCCAGGAACCGCACTGAGATCCTGAGCGAAGCGGGGCCCGAGGGAAGTGGGCCCTCGGCTCCCGGGGCCCTCCACTCGGGCCGGGCGAAAGGGGGGGATTGGGAAAGGGGGGGTTACGAAATCTGCTGCACGCAGCTGGTTTCGGCCTCACCGAGGGGCCCATTCCTCGATACATGGCCGCCTCCGGCGCCAGGAGGCGCCGGGAAAATCAGCTACGTGAGCTGATTCTCAAACCCCCCCTTTGCTATCCCCCCCTTTCGCCCGACCCGATCCATGGGCCCCGGGGCCGTGAGAACACGACTCGGGACGACGAGCAGGCCTCGGGGGGAAGGCCCGGGGCCCTGCAGCCCCGTCTCCCTCGGGGCCCGCCTCCTTCGTGCAGGTGTACCCGCCTCCCTCGAGGAAGAAAGAACTACACAATACAGTCGGATCGCTGAACAAGGAGCACTTGCTTTTCAAACGGGGCCTGGTCGTTCCTTAGGTTTACATGCGTTCCGCTCCTATTTTGGCGGCGAGCCCCCCGGTGTTCCTTCGGACTTCATGGACTTTCTTGGAAGAGATGGGGCCTCGTTCCTTATTTATCGTTCCTTAGGTCAGCGACCCGACTGTAATCGTGAACTTTCGGAGGTCCGCGCGGATTTCTTTGATCGGCGCTGTGCCCACCTGGCGGCGCCTCTGGCGTCGCCCCCGGCGCGCTCCGCGCGACAGGGAGAGGGGTCCAGCGCCGATCCAGGAAATCTGCGCTGAGTTCCGAAAGTTGTTGTTGAAGGTTCGCCATGAAGGAAACGGGTCCTGGGGTAATCGGATCTTTAGGTTGTTTTTGTTTCTAGCTTTCCAGGGCCCTTCACGGGCCCCGCGAGTGTCAAGACACATTTCTGGGTACAGTTCTGGTCCGGGAGAAGGCCCCCCTGGAGAGTGCCTTGTTACCCTCGGGGCAATAGCCCGCGTTACGCCCCCCACCCGCTCCCCCTACCCGCTCCCCCCCCATAACGTAACGCTTCCCCCCGCACTGCGTCCCCGGCACTACCGCAGTGCGTCTGGCAGGCACCACAGTCTGGGGCGGGGAGGGGGGGCGCTACGTTATGCACCCTCCCGTGCCGCCCCCCCCCTCCCTCCCATACGCCCGCGATGGCCGCGAATCACAAAATGCGCGCCTGGGTTCAGGACCCGTTCCCCTCAGATCAGAGCCCGCTTCGCAGACATGCGCAATGTCCCCAGGGCCGGTTTCTCATCCCGAGTGGTTTGACTGACGGTCCCGGGGCCCAGCGGGGGCCCGGCGGCCAAAAACCTCGCGCCGTGGTCTCTGCCGGGCGCGAGCCTGTCTGGGCTCCTCCCGGCCAAAAGAAGGTGTACCTCCGCCTCGCGCTGCAGTACCACCCGGACAAGAGGCCGGCCTCCGACCGCGAGCGGGCCACGCGGCTCTTCCAGGCCGCCTTGGTGGCACGCACGAGGGGGGGGGGGGGCGGCATATACGATCCAGGGTTCCGCCCCCCCGTTCCCTCCTGTCGTGTTGATGCCTGCGAGTCCCTCCCCCCCCCGCGATGGGTCCCCCCCAGTGTGGTAGTGACCCCGTTGTCGTCGTCGTCGTCGTCGTCGTCGTCGTCGTCGTCGTCGTCGTCGTCGTCGTCGTCGGCGTCGTCAGGGGCGTCGTCGTCGTCGTCGTCGTCGACGAGTCTTCCCCCCCATCCATCATAGGGCCTGGGGGGTCTGTGAACCCTGGGACTTCCTGGGAACCATCCCATCTGAGGGGTAGTGGCAGGGCCTGTGAACCCGGGATCATACAGACCGCACGGGGTGGACAGCAGTCTAAGAGTCGAACAAGAAAGTTCGGCATCAGCATGAACTTTCTGATCTCCGCGCGGATTTCTTGGATCGGGGTTGGAACCCCCTGGCGGCGCCTCTGGCGCCGCCCCTGGCGCGCGGGAGGGAGGACCAGCGCAGATACAGGACTTCCGCGCGGACTTCCGGCAGTTTGGGTATCTGCTTCGGCAGGCAGTGGATCATATGGATGTTTTCGGGTTCCTTGGGGCCAGAATCTCTGTCTGTCTCTCTCTCTCTCTCTCTCTCTCTCTATGTATGTATATATATATACATATCTCTATATATCTATACACGCACCTACACCCATAAGACCAACCTTCGGGTGATAAGGAGGTTGTGTGGGGGGAGGGGGGGAACCAACGTCTGACTCAATCGATCTCACTATCGATCTCTATCAACGGGACACCACGGGACACCACGGAACACTTGTCGATCTCACGATCGATCTCACTATCGATCTCACTCAACGGGACACCACGGGCTACCACGGGACACCGCGGGACACCTCTCGATCTCATTATCGGTGTCACTATCGATCTCACTCAACGAGACACCACGGGACACCACGGAACAACTCGGGACACCACATCGATCTCATTATCGATCTCACTGTCGATCTCAGTATCGATCTCACTATTGATCTCACTCAACGGGACACCACGGGATACCACGGGACACCTGTCGATCTCACTATCGATCTCACGATCGATCTACCTCAACGCGACACCACGGGACACCTTTGGGCACCACATCGAGCTCACTATCGATCGTACTATAGATTTCACTTATTGGGGCACCACGGGACACCTCACATCGATCTCACTATCGATCTCACTATCGATCTCACCATCGATCTCACTCAACGGGACACCACGGGACACCACGGGACACCGCGGGACACCGCGAGCCACCGCCGGACGGACGGACGGACGGGCGGGCGGGGGATAATCATTTGTCTTGACTTCGCCCTAGCAACGGCGGACACCACGGGACACCACGGGACACCGCGAGCCACCGCCTGACGGGCGGGGGAGAATCATTTGTCTTGACTTCGCCGTAGCAGCGGCGGGTTCATTCCTCTCGCGCGCCCACGCAGCTTCGCCTCGCCCGCACGCACGACACGAACGAAACGAAACGATTTCCCGGTTGGGGGTCTCCGTTCCACTGCGATCTCACCCCCCAACCTCCGATACATTTATGTGTGTATATACATATATATATATATATCCACCGTCCGACTGGGTCCCAGGACGTCGGTTCGCCAGGCTGTGGATGTGGATGATTAATGATCCCCGCCTCGCAAGGGGAGTACGCAAGGAGGGGGGAGCGTTCTGAGAAAGCGGGGAGGTCCGAGAGGGCGGGTTGCTTCTGAGAGGCGATCGCCGCGGCCTACGAGGAGCTCCTGCAGACCAGGGAGAGTGGCGGGTCCGCCGCCAACCAGCGCGTGAAGAGCCCGGTGGCAGCCGCGGCGGAGCTGGGCGACCTGGAGGAGCTGACGAGACTCCTCAAGGAGCGCCCAGACCGCGCCAACGAGGCAGACGACCTCGGCGTCTACCCCCTGATGTTTGCTGCCGCGGGTGGCTGCGTGGAGGCCGCGGAGCTCCTGCTGGAGTTCGGAGCCGACGTGCACGCGAAGAATCCGATCAAGTGGTCTGTGCTGCTCTATGCGGCCCTCGGCAACCACGCCGAGATGGTGCGGTTCCTTGTCGGGTGCGGGGCGACCGTGACGGACCACGAGCTCATACTGGCAGCCTACACCGGCAACCCCGGCAGCCTCCAGGCGCTGCTGGAGCTGTACGAGGGCAGCGCGGCGGAGGTGCGCACGGACGAGAGCAGGAAGCAGGGGCAACGATAGGGGGGGCTTGGATAGGCACAGGGGAGGAGGCATCGGCCACGGATCGCCCACTGATCGCCGAGGAGGGCCCGATAGCCCCAGCCTGCCGAAGGAAGCTGCGGATTCACCATCGGAGGCCCGTCGCCTATCTCTCGGCGACGTATCGCCGATTCCAGGTCGATGCATCCGCCGCCCTATGCCAGTCCCCCCTCCCATCGTTGCCCCCCCCTCGAGGAAGACCCTGCTGCACCTGGCCTGCGAGGGGCTCTGCTTCCTGCGGCACTCCGCCGAGCGGCACGCGGCGTGCGTGGACCTGGCGCTGCGGTGGCGCGTGCCCGTGGACGCGGCGGAGCCCCGGAGGGGCCGCACCGCGCTGCAGGACCTGGTCGTCGGGCGTGGCCAGGAGAAGTGCCGCCGGCCCAGGGCGCCCCCCCAGGACTTCCAGGGAGGCCCCCACGGCCTCCGGAGCATCCCTCGCGAGGCCTAGGGGGCCCCAGGGGCTCTGGAGCTGGGCGAAGATCGAAGAACGGTGAACGGCACAAACATAAACTTTCGGCGGTCCGCGCGGATTTCTTGGATCCCTTGGCGGCGCCTCCGGCGCCGCCCCTGGTGCGCTCCGCGCGCCAGGGAGGGGGGCCCAACACAGATCCAGGACAGCCGTGGGGCCGGCAACAGCTTTATGCTTATGCAGTTTTTCGTTCCTCTATAGGGCGTGAGGCGCCGGGGCGGCGCCAGAGGCACCGCCAGAGGCCCCTGGCGGCGCAGAGGGGTCCCAGCGCAGATCCGAGACATCCGCGCGGAGTGTCAAAAGTCGATGCCTATGCTTTTTTGTTGGTTGGTCCTCTGTGGGGGGCACCTTTTGGGCCAGGGTCACCTTGCCCTGACCTTCCAGAGTGCTAAAAAGTAACACTCCAGACCTATAGATCTATCTGGACTGCCTCAAACCCCGACAGGAATTAGGACGTCGACGTCCTGGTGCTATTTTTTAGCCCTCATGGAAGGTCAGGGTGGGCCGCTCCCGAGGTCGGCGACCCGCGCTGGCGCACGCGCTCGCTGGAGAACTCCGCCGCGCACCTGGCCGCGGTGGAGCGGCTCTGCGCCGCCGGCGCCAGCGTGGCGGCGGAGGACCCGGGGGGCGCTAGCGCCCTGTCGCTGGCCTCGGAGGGCCGGCTCCCGCGCGTGAGAGAGGCGCTCCTGTGCTACGCCTGACGTCGGAGGGGACCGTCGAAGGAAGGGACAGAAAACAAACGCAATCAATCGTCGGTCCCCAAGAAAATATGGGAAAGTATGGGAAGTGGGGGGAAGGCAAAAATCCCGAAAGTAGGGGAGCAGATGGGGAAGTCTGTTATTTGTGTGTATGTGTGTGTGTGTGTGTGTGTGTGTGTGTGTGTGTGTCCCAGGGCCCTTCATAATCGAAGGAGACGAATCGGAGGCCTAGAGGTCGACACCAGCACCAACATCGGCGGTGCGCCTCCACCGAAGGGAAGGTCGACGATCCTGGCTTCTCGGTGATGCCGATGCTGGTAAGATTCGCCATGCCTAGATGGCCGGTGTAGCAACACCAACACCAAAGTCTAGGGTCATCCTCCCTCCCCTGGTGGAGGCGACCCCCTGTTTTGGTGTCGGTGTCATTTTTTGTCGCCGGTCCGCGCGGATTTCTTCGATCTGCACTGGGGCCCCCTGGCGGCGCCTCCGGCGCCGCCCCTGGCGCGCTCGGCGCGTCAGTGAGGGGGGTCCAACTCAGATCCAGGACATCCGTGGGGCTGGCAGCAGCTTTATGCTATGCAGTTGTTCGTCCCTCTCGGGCATGACTTGTGCCCGTATCCACTGCAGCTTGGAGTTTCGGGCTCCCTTCCCTAGAAGGCATTGGCGCACTGGATGGGAATGAGCAACCCGCACCCTAGAGGCACACGTTTGTCCATCTCCAGTGCGCCTCGGCCTTGTGTCGCCCCTGCGAATGAAGTCCAAGGCGCACGGGATATGGATATCAAGCTTACCCGCAACAGCACAAACATACAGTACCGTTTTTTGTATACATGCTCCGCGTGCGGATCATGTATTAAAAATGCAGAGATTTAGTATTAAAAACAACGATGAGTTCATGCATGCATTTTTTCAAAAATTTATAATGTATTAAAAATCCGATGTATTAAACATCCAATGTCTTTAAAACTGCCCTGTAGTTAGACTGCAGGAGCTCCGCGCGGATTTCTTGGATCTGAGCTCTGCGCTGGGAACCCCTGGCGGCGCCTCCGGCGCCGACCCCGGCGCTCTCCGCGCGGCAGAGAGGAGAGGCTCCAGCGCCGATCTCAGACGTCAGCGCGCAGCACCGACAGGTTATGTTCACGTAGATGTTTTCGTCCTCTACCGAAAACGCAGCCTCGGGGCGGGACGACCGCAGACGAATCTCGTCGACCTCCAGCGCTGCCCCTGGCTTGGGGAGCTTGGGGAGCCAATCGGGGATCGATGGATCGAGGCTGGAGAGCGAGCATCGAGGGATCGAGGGTCCCGCGGTGCAAGCACTGGTCGCCATGAACCAGGCGGGTCCTGAGAGAAGCGGGCCCTGAGTGCTGTCGCCGTCTTCGGGCTCCCAGTGCCCCTCCCGGGCCCAAGGACCGCCAAAGAATTATTCAGGATGAACAGTTGGCCCTGGGATGATCCCCCCATCGGGGGTTACTAAACTTGTCCCTGGCCCAAGGTGTCCCCAGCTCTTCATTCGATTTTGCAGCCCCTGGGGCGCTCTGGGCCTCGTGAGGATGCTCTGGAGGTCGTGGGGGCCTCCTTGGAGGAAATCCTGGGGGTACCTTGGGTCAGGGGGACTTTTAGCAACACCCGACCCCAGACCTATGCCAACTCATGGTCCGAGCATCGTGGGACATCCGCATGTACGGAAATGTTGCCCCCTGCACGATTGTGCGGTCAATCGGGATGCCGCGAGCGAGCCGGATCACCGGTTCCAGATTGATGTTCCCGCCACGGCCCGCGCAGAGCCGCAAATTTTCGACGATGCCAGGAGTTCATAAGCACTCGCGCCGTCAATGGTGCCCACAACCGCTAGCAGCGGCCTCAGTCCTGAGGCCGCAGCTGCGTGGGGACGATGTTGTCCTGGGCCGCCCTCCTGCCACGTTGCAAGGGCGTTGTAGGCATGCTGGCCATCGTTCCTTCTCCTGCTCGCCATGTCTCCTTCGTCTTCCTCCTCCCCTCGAAGACGACAAGGTGGCACAAACATGAACGTTCGGAGCTCCTCACGGATTTCCTTGAATTGCGCTGGGGGGGCCCAGCGGCGCCTCCGGCGCCGCCCCTGGTGCGCTCCGTGTGCCAGGGAGGGGGATTCGGCGCAGGTCCAAGGCATCCGCGCAGACCGTCGAAAGAGTTCATGTTTCTGCGGCTGTCGCTTCCCTGATCTTCCCTCTGCCACTCCTCTCGGGCTGGACGAAAGGGGGGGATTGGGAGAGGGGGGGCAGCTGGTTTCGGCCCCGCCGAGGGGCCCATTCCTCGATACATTGCCGCCTCCAGCGCCGGGAGGCGCCGGGAAAATCAGCTACGTGAGCTGATTCTCACCCCCCCCCTTTGCTATCCCCCCCTTTCGCCCGGCCCGACTCGTGCTCCCCGCCTTCTGACGCCGTCTCTCCCGCACGGCCGGTGGACGGCGCGCTCCGCAAAAGTCATCATCTGTTGTGGGGGCCCCACGGACGGGCGCCCAGGTCTCGCAGGGTTCGCACGGCACGCGATAGGGATCAGTCATCATGCAGTGAAGGCGCTGGCACAAGGACCGCTTTGGGTTCGGGAGGGGCTCGGATGTTCGGGCTATGCCTTAGAGCCAGGGCGAAGAACCTGTCTGTGGCCTAGACTTAAGTTGGGCCTGTCCCTCTACAGGAGCAATATCAAAAAAAGTCCAACAATAGTCTGGGGACGATGTTTGGACTATGTTTGAGCGTTTTTTGAATATATGTTTGGTATTTTTCCATGTGTCCTCCAAAACCCCCCTGTAGGGGGACTTGCCCGACCTTAGCTTAGACCCGCCGCGGCCAGAAAAGCCCTTCCGTTCTTTCTCATATGTTCCTCATGGTAGCACGATGGCTGCACTTGTTTTGAGTCTGGCTGATTGAATGGTCGTTTTGCTGGCAGTGCTTTTGTTTTGTTCAGCCGCAAATCCGACTAATTAGGTGTTTCGACGGCCTCCTCTGTGACCAGCGTGGCCCTGAGATTGTGGTATAAGCGGGGCAGCTTCAAGTGGCACAGGTCCGATAAGGCGGTCACTTGCTGGCAGGTGGCGTGACTTGGCACAAAGGGCTTGCTCAGCGTCTCCTCCTCCGTGGAGCCACAGACGTAAGGCCCAGAAAGACGCCCAAGCGTGCGCGACATGAAATCGCCCCTCCTCGGAGAACCGTTTTTCATCAGCTTTTTACCCTCTGCGGGGGGCTGCAGCAGCCACCGTCCTGCCCAGAGGCAGAGTTCTTCGGGAGTCGCCAGAGCCCCACGAGCACGAACGCTGCAAGATCTGGCGCTGCAGAGCCCACGGGGGCGGAGGGAGCGAAGCGTAGGGCATGCGTCGACCCACGGCCGCAGCTGCCTCGAGCGCGACGGTGACTGGTTTCCCAAAGACCCCGCACACGAGGCGCTGAGATCTGAGGCCAGGCCAGGCGCCGTTAACGGGGCGCCACGCCACCAGCCAGGAGTCAGAGCATCCCATAGCGCGCACGGGCTTCACGGACACCCGGAGTCCCTCGTTTGCCCTCGACGCAGGTCATTTTCGATCCGATCGATCTGATTCGAGGTCGATTTCGGCCGGCCCGATCCGATTCGATTCCGATATTCGCGGCCCAGTGCTTGCATGGCGCCGTTGTGCATCCTGGCTCGGCCGGTCTGATTCGATTCCTACTCCGTGCCGATGCCGCCCGATCCGACGCACGCTCCGGTCTTATCCGAGTCCTTTCGGACGGGGCCAGGATGAGGATGAATCCGTTCCAGAGCGTTCCGGAACGCTCTCAGAGCGTTCCGGAACGCTCTTGGAAGGCCGCCGTGCCCGAGACTGTCCTGCAGAGCCGCCGGATGTCAGAGGTTCCCGATTTGTCCGCACCCGCAGTTGTCCTCGTCCTGGCCTCGTCTTGTCATCGATTCGGGGATGACCGCTCCTGCTGCGCAGATCTCGATCTCGTCCCTCCCCCGGCTCCTCCTCCTCCTCCTCCTCCTCCTCCTCCTCCTCCTCCTCTTCCTCCTCCTCCTCCTCCTCCTCCTCCTCCTCCTCCTCCTCCTCCTCCTCCTCCTCCCCCTCCTCCTCCCCCTCCTCCACGGGAAAGCCGAGAGATCCCCGACGCCGTGGCTTGGCAGACCGTGGGGGAAGGCTTCGGAGGAGTCTCGGCCCCTCCCCCCGGGAGGGGCGTGCCCCCAGAGTGCGTCTGCTCACGGCCCTGACGGCCAGCGCTAAGTCGGGCCCGTCCCTCTGCAGGAGGGATCTTCAAAAATAGGACAAGAATAGTCAGGGGTTGATTTTCAAATTACTTTTTGGCCAGAGTGGATTTTGTTTTGACGATTTTTATATTTCGTCCCAACTCCGTATTTTTTGACGGTTTAGATTTCGTCCAAAATCCCTCTCTGTAGGAGGACAGGCCCGACTTTAAGGCCGGCGGCCAGAGGCCAGAAGTTGGCAAGCGTGCTCCGTCTTAGCGCTGCCACGGCGCGATGGGGGAGGCTCGGCGGCGGGCGAGAGGGGGGGGGGGGGAAGCGAGAGGGAGGAGGCCCTCTCCGAAGGCGGCCGGACTTCTCAGAAGCCCTCGCGCCTCCTGAGTAGAATTTTGTGTCTTCGGGGGAGGGGGGGGGAAGCGAGAGGGAGGAGGCCCTCTCCGAAGGCGGCGGGACTTCTCAGAGGCCCTCGCGCCTCCTGAGCAGAGTTCCGTGTCTTCGGGGGAGGCTTACAACACTTCTCAGAAGGCTTGGGGACTTCCGAGCCTTCTGAGAAGGCCCGCCCCTTCTCGCTTCCCCCCGGGCTCGCCGCCGAAAAGCATGCTACGCATGCAACAAGGTCCATGGAAGAGTCGTGCGCGTTGGATCCGTGAGTAGAGCTGTACAGAATGTCAGCTATTTCGCAATGATGCCGGTTTCCATCTCTGGGCCCGCCCTGGTGCCCACCCGCTTGGCTCTTCTTAAGAACGCCCTAGGCGTTTTTGTTGGTTACCGTGTCGCACGGTGGGCCCTTGACAAGCGAAAAA